AAGTTGTACACTGCTTGTAGCCAGACATTTCTCTTAGGGTCCAATGAGTGTATATTCCTGCAAACATGAATGCTAAAAGCTAAGGGCAGCATGCAAGGGAAGGACTTACCTCACCCTTGTCTTGTTCAATCTGTTCTCTTCTAAAAAACCTTGACCTGTGTCTTCCTGATTTTAAAGAGAAAAACACTACAAGCTGTCAGTTGTGTACTGGTCAGTGAAACATTCATAAGTAAATAACATTGCTTTTAGCACTACAGTCAAGGCTGTGGTCTGAGAAAAATAACAAGGAGCCCAAAGGTTCCTAATTATGAAAACCTGGGCACCCAGCATTTAAACTTATGTTAAAAAATTAAGATTTTCCAGTTGCCCAAAGGCAAAAGTTGGTCGCCTGTGGTACCTGGGCACTTCTAGGGCCCAACCCGTGGTGGCTACTCGCAGAAAAAACTGGGTGCGGGTGTGCGGCCCACTTCCCAAAACCCTTACCCTATTTATGACCAAAATCTACGATTTTTCCTACCCTATTTATGACCTGACCACAAATTTAATACTCTATTTATGCCCTGACCCTTAAATCAACACTCTGCCTTATAATTAGTTCCCTAGTGCAAACCAATGTTAAATTGCTGTAAACATAATTTGTGAAGGGCTTTTTCTTGTTGCTTCTTGATGGTCTTATCAACAGTGATGAAAAAGTAGCTTCTTCTTAAAAACGTACTTTGTTCAAGACTAGAGTGCAAAAACCATACCCTATTTAAGACCACAATGGCCAAAATCCACACCCTATTTATGACCTGAACAGCTGAAAACCCCTACCCTTTGGGGCCGCACATACCTATATAGCCCATATAAGGGAGGGGAGTACCCCCCCTCCCCCATATGTACATGAATCATTAGGCCTTAATCAATTATCCAAACAAGATTGCTCATAGGTTGATCATCTGCCACTTATAGAAATTTGTGATTGGCAGGTTTTAATAACTCAGTTTCTGTAAACAACACTTTTATTAAATAGGATTAAATTGTTGATTCAAACTATGTGTAAGCTAATACACATCTACACATCATATGCCCAAGCATGCAGATACATACATGTACATTACATTCTATGTAGTTTGCAGTTTGCAAGGGGCAGAGATGTCACAAAGTTTTGATGTAGGCAGCTTTGTTGTTTGAATCAGGTGACTGAGTTTTCCATCGTTAGTCAAAGAAGAGTCCAAAGAATAGCCTACAATGTGGTATTAAGACTAGCTAGCCAAGGTGATGAAATAGACAGTGATTTTGACTTGTGACAACCCAGAGTGGATAAGATTTAAGGACGTTCGCACTTATTGCTTCTGTGCATCCTTACTGCACACTTAATTTACTCCAAGGACAACTTTTGGGAGAAACTTTATTTCCATGAAAATAATGGTGGGAAATTGACCAATTAGTGCTTGTCAATTAAAACTTTTTGGCCCACAAATCCCAATGTTTCACCTATTAATAAAAGTTATCAAATGCTTGAATGTACATGGTACATATTAAGTGTATAAATGCATGTTGAACTATCATGCTCATGAACGACCATCAGTGGTACGGTTGAAAGCATTGATATTTACTGTAGATTACTTTTATACAGGCAGATGTTTATGACAAGTGTGTGGAGCCTCTTGTTAAGAGCTGTATGGAGGGATATAATGCCACAGTCTTTGCATATGGTCAAACAGTGAGTGTTGTTTATTATAAACATGTGAATTTAAATCACTGATTTCAGCCTGGCCTGAGGCATT